GTGTCAACGATTCTTAGCCCTTTAGCTTTTTTCCATTCTCAGCATAAATAGCAACAACCTTCAAACTTAGATATCTGAATACAAAAAAGTTCAAACAGTGCATAGAAGAAAAATATTTCTGCAGAACTAGTCCTCCTCTCAAAACCAGGGTGACAGGATAAGTAAAGTTAAATAAATTGCTACAATCTCAAATTGAAGTAGAAGAAAGCTTTATTATAGTGCATTAGATACAGAAGTACAGCTTCTGCTTTGGGTACATTCCTGAAAAGTTGACTGTAGAATAAAAGTTCCTATACACTGATCTGCTTTTTTTCTTTTTTAAAGATTTATTACCTTCCAGAGGGGGGAGCAGAGGGAGGGGGGAGGGAGAATCCCAAGCAGAAACCCCTGCTGTGCATCAAGCCTCCCATGGGGCTCAATCCCATGACTCCAGCCGAAATCAAGAGTTGGAGGCCCAACCGACTGAGCCACTCAGGCACCCCCTATATGCTGATATCTAATTCCCCACTGGCCATTATAAAACTGTTTTTTCCCCTGGGGAAAATCTGGCCCAAGAATTTTCATATGAAACAAACCAAAATTAAAAACAGAAGAAAGATAATTAGATTCACAAAATACAAAGTGATATGGTAGACACAGCGGGGGGGGAACAAAATGTGAGATAAGCAGGAGTATTCTTAATAAAGTAGACTTAACAGTAAACTGGTCACAGGTGAGCTATACGGAGGGCAAATATGCAGAAAAGTCTACAAACTGTCATTAGACAATCTACATTACAACTAACCAGTCACTGATAATACAAACATTTCAGTAAGAAATTGGCTTCATTCCTTCAAAGATCTCAGGGCCTGTTATGTACTGGGCAGTGGGAATACAACTGCAGATAGGAGGAGATCCTGAGCTTGCAGTCCAGTAGGGAAAGTAACCACCTATACACCATGCAGTTAGGGCCATCATGAGGGAAGCCCCAAAGCTATGGGGGCACACAATAAAGGCTCCTAATTCTGACATGTCAGGGACAGCTTCCTGTCATTTAAGCAGAAGGCTAAGTAGGACTTGGCTGGGTAAGAAGAGTAAGGGGAAGAGGGTGCCTGGGTGGCTCAGTCAGTTAAGCACCTGCCTTCAGCTCAGGTCATGATCCCAGAGGTCCGGCATCGGGCTCCCTGCTCAGCGGGGAGTCTGCTTCTCCCTCTGCCCCTACCCCCTGCTCATACACTTGCGCGTGTGTGCTCTCTCAAATAAATAAAAATTAAAATTAAAATAAAAAAGAGTGGGGGGAAGAATGTTCTGGAAAGAGGCAATAACATGTGCAAAAGCCCACAGGTAAGAGTGTTGGGCTCCAGAGAAGGTCTTGAAGGACAAGATGGGGAGCAGCAAAAGAGCTGAGCAGGTGCTGAATTAGGCAGGGCTTTATAGGGCATTGGGGAGTCTGGCATTTTCATCTTGGAAGCAAGAAGGAAGCATTCACTGACAAACTTTAAGCAGATGTTTAGCCTTTGAGAAAACCTCTTTGCCTGTGTGCTAGAGAATGGGGAAGGCAAGACTGGAGGTAGAGGACCAGAGACAAAGTTGGTGCAGCCATCTAGGTAAGCAATGTTGGCATACGCCAGGGTCATGTTGGTCATGCTAAGAGTGGCAGAATAATGCCCAAAATACATAGGAAGAAGCACCAACAGGTGAGGGAGAAGTCATGGCTCTCTCCTAGGTTCCTGGCTGGAAACTGGAGAAGATACACATTTGGGGAGAAAGAAGAACCCTATTTTGGAACATGATGTGTTTGAAGAACCTATGGATCATCCAATGTCCTTCTCCAACAGACAGCTGTCATAATGGCAGTAACAACTGACAAGAATAGAACATCTTATTATGTACCAGACACTGTCCCACACCTTACATTTATTACATTTATTAACTCAAAATGTCATAATAGCTCTATGAGGTAAAAACTATCCCTTTTATCTCTATACTATAGATGTAGAGATGGACACACAAAAAGGCTACAAAAATTGCCCAAATTCAATTGGCCAGTAAGTGCCTGAGACCAGATTCAAACCCTTCCGTTTGTCCTCAGTCTGTGCTCTTAACCAGAGCCTGCTATTGTCTCTCTTACATGCATCTCTGAGGCTCAGCAAAAATATGCAGCCTGCCTGGGAACACTGAGCATATGGGAACACATACAAATCAGCCAGTAGAGCATACAAAATGAAAAAATAAAGGGGCTCAAGACAGACCCCAGGTTTATTCATGAGAGGAGCCCACAAAGGAAACTGGGGTGTGGGCAGAGAGATAGGAGAAACCCTGGGAGACTGTGGTACGACCAAAAGCAACAAAGAAAGGGTCATGAGGAGGCAGTAAAGCACAGTGTCAACTGTGGAAGATGTTTGTGATGCTGGGGTTTGAATTCATCTTTTCTGTAGCAGAGGCTGGCAAACTACAGACTGTTTTTGTATAGCCCAACTAAAAATGGGTTTTACACTTCTCACAAAATTTTAAAAAGGGGGGGTGGGAGATTACGTGACAAGAGACAATACATGGCCCTCAAAGGCCTAACCTATATACTATCTGGTCCTTTACAAAAAAGTCTGCATGACAACTTGTGACCTTGGCAAGAACAGATACAGGGGAACAGTGGGGGCAAAAACCAGACTGCAGGTTATTAAGGAATATAAGGGAAGTGATGGAGGGATAAGGTAATTCTTTCATGATGTCTGGCTGTGAGGTAAGAGCTTCAAGGGGACAGGGGAGAGGGAGAAGTTTGTTTGTGTAAAGACAGAAGAGATATGAACATGGTTAAACACAAATATAGAAGAAGCCACTAAGAGGGAATGGATGAAAACATAGGAAAGAGAAGATGCTACTGAGCAACTCCCTGTTAAAAGGGGGAAGGATGTAGGATCCAGAACACATGCAAGAGAAAAAAAAAACCCACTTTTGAGAAAACAGGAAGGCAGAAAGGGGCAACTACACACAAGTTTGTAAGGCTGCAGGCATGAAGGTGAGGAATATCCCAGTTTATGGCTTCTGTTTCTCTAATCATCTGCTGCCAGCAAGGGGGAGTGGCGGGATCAGGGATTTAAGAAACAAGCGGAAATTTTGAAATGTCTGCAGTTAAGGGAGAGCGTACAGACTAGAAAAACAAGGAGTGCAGAGCAATCTCAACAGCTGGTTAATGCTGGAGACCACAAACCACATTTACATGACCTGTACGTTATCAAGTCACAAGCATTTTCCAGGTAATAAGATTTCTTCAAGACATTATGAACTTGGATAGAAATTTAAAATGCCCTACTGATTCCTTGCCTTTTGAAGAGAACATATTTAGTGGCTAAAGCACGGCTTTGGAGTCAGAGATCAGAGTTAGAACTCAAGCTGTCACTTGACTAGTTGTGTAATTTTACCTTTACTGCTTACTCTCTCTCTGCCTCAGTTATCTATAACTCTGTGCCTGTTATGATAAATACTAAATTAAATGAAATTTATAAAATACATAGTATAGTGATTAGCAAGAGAAATGGTTCAATAAAATGGCTCATACATATTATTATATTGTTCTAATTAGCAGCAGCAGTAGTATTTTGTTATTTCACATTACTGTCAAGAGATGGGTGTTCAGGAGACTTCTACCGTGACACAACCACAGCTGTATCACTAACCAAGTGACCACAGAGGAATACTCTAGGGATTAAGTTTCCAATCTGCATAATAAGAGGATCTGACTGGTCACTATACTCCTATGCGCTGTGGGGGGAAAAAAAAAAAAAAAGACCTTCCAATTCACCACATTCCTGGCAATCCCTCAGTGTAGTCACAAAGACCTGAGTCTGAATCCTGCTCTTACTTGCTGAATGACTGGACAACTTATTTAACATCTTTGTGCGTTGGTTTCCTCACCTAGAAAACAGAGAAAATCATATGGATCTTATGGGATTGTAATGATTTTTTTTTTTTAAGTAGGCTCCATGCCCAGCCCATGGAGACACGGGGTGGGGGGTGGGGTCTCCAACTCACAACTCTGAGATCCAGACCTGAGCTGAAATGAAGAGTCAGAGCTTAACGGACTTAGCCACTCACGCGCCCCAGGATTGTGATGATTTAACATAAAGCACAGAGCCAAGGGCAACTATTCATCTACCCCACCTCCTCACCTGTAAAATGAGAACCATATCACCCTTCACAGGTGTGACACATGCGTGTGAGGTGAGTGAAGCACTGTACACCATGCCAGTACACAACCCTCGGTCAAACACCGGCAGCCAATCTTTATTTCCCTGAGGCACAACTCTATTAGGAGAGCTGGAGATACAACAAACTGGGACCTCAATAAAAAGCTAAACTTTGGGGGGTGTTACTGCATTGAAAGGATCTTATTAAAACACACCATGATCCCTCTTCCTCTTTGGTCACACGATTTGACGATCCTTTCCCCCAGGAAACCACTCCAGTGACTTCGGTAGCCAACAGACGCAAACTCAGAGGTGAGAATCGAGACACGCAAAAGGGGAAATGAGGCTCAGACTCAGATTTTAGAGTTATAAAGCTTGCGACTGGAATCCGAGTGCACTGCTCGTAAGTCTAGTTACAGTTCCCAGAAGCACTGAAAGGGGACATTGCGGCAGATCTTAGGTTTCCATCACCCGGCGCTCTCAGCATGCCATCGAGGTCTGAGCCGCCCGAGGACTACCGTCGCTACCGGATAACGGGTTTCAGCGACCAGCACACCTGGCGGGGCCGCACGTGCGGGCCACCGCGCCCTGCCACTGCACCGGCCGGCGCGCCTCGACACCGACCCGCCCACCCTGGCCCGCCCGGATCTGTGTGCAGCGCCGCGTCCATCGGAGTCGGGGTCCAGGGCCAGGGGCTGGGGGTCTGGGCGGCCGGCCAGTCAGCGGCCCCCGCCCGGTCCCCCGGGAGGCGGGGCGGCGGGGGGCGCGGCTGACAGGACGGAGCGCGCGACCCGCCCTATAGCCTGCCCGGCCTCGGCGCCGGAGCCCGGGTCTCACCTGGAAGTGCTCCTGGAAACGGATGGGGAGGATCTGCGCCATAGCGGGCGCAGGGCCGAGGAAACAGCGGAGACGGAGACCGAGGCGGTAGCGGCCGTGGCCGTAGCTCCCCTCACGCGGGCAGACGCGCGGCGAGAGCGGGGGTGGCGGCGGCGGCGGCCGCGCAGGCGCATTTCCCGACTCTACGGCCCGCACGCGCTGCTTCCCGCACGAACCCTGCGCGGGATCCCTCCGCCCGCCGCTTGAGGGTCCGCGAAAAGTAGTCCCGCGCGTATCCGCACTTCCGGCACCCGGGAGCAAGAACCAGTCGGCCTGCGCTGCTTTGGGGAGGTACCCAGGGCAGGTGTGCGCGAGAAGGTAGCGGGGTCCCGGACTAACCCCCAGCTGGTGCCCCGGACAGGTGTGCGCGGGACGGTGGAGGGGTTCCGGGCTAAACCCTGGCCAGTGCCTGGGACAGGTGTACGTGGAAAGGTGGAGCCGGTAGTGGGCTGCTCCCCGCGGATGCTCAGGACTGGTGTGTGCTGGAAGGTGGACCGAGTCTCTGGCCGCAGTGCCCAGGACAAGTGTGCGCGGACGGGGACTAGGCGTGGGCTGCCCTCAGCAAGTTTCCTGAGGGATAGGGTTTTCACAAGAGGTAAACCAAGTTCCGGGACTGCCCTTGCCTAGAGCCTTCCATGTGTTGGGCGTGGCGGGCAGTGGGGGAAGTTCTACCTCAAACTCTGGACAGTTGTTTCGGGGACGCTCTTTTTTATTCAGGCACAGATGTGCCAAAAGCACCGTGAAAGGAGTGTGGGAAGTATGTGTGCAGATGAGTGCACAAGGCTCAGCCCTCGCTCCTGTAGGGAACATCTTTCCTGGCTCATGCAATTTCTATAGAGTGTGCTGTATCAGAATATCAGGGCGGAGAGCCTGCAAAGATCACATCTAGCAGCAGATGACCAACCAAAGGCCACTGAGGGTCACCTGGTCACCTGCCTGTGGTCGCACAATAGTAGTAGCAGTTCCGGAACTAGAGCCCACACCTGCTTTGCCCAGCGGTCAGTTGTTTTCTGAGGCACCATCTGAAGATGTGTTTTGCATGCAGATGGCTCAGCTGCATAAAAGAGGTTTGTCAGGGAAGCGAAAGCCTTTGGCATTCTGTGTAAGCATTCCCACAGTGTAATCGATACCCTGTATGCTTCCGGTTGCTCACTGGTAATTTTAAGAAATTAATAGTCCACCGTGAATACCACAGTGTGCAATTATTTGCACAATGGCTTCACAATCTAGTATCGTCCAAAAATATGTTTAAGAAGAAACACTGCTCACTTTCAAATGAAATCTCTTTTTCAGTATTAACCAAGAACCCTTGCAGACTGCCCTTTCAACATCTGTGTAGCCTCACCATCTAACAATAGAGCTGGCTTTTGCTATGGGTAGTACCACCCAAATCTCTCCATTTTGGCAATTATGCCTGTGACCCCAAGTACCCTTCACACCAAACATATAAATTCTTAGTATTAATTAGTATTGCTCCCTAAATTACCATTCCCCCCAAAAGGGGGGGGCTTTTGGAGGGTCAAAACTAAAAATTTGCATCCTAGAAAAAATAATTTCAAGAAAATTGTGGTTAAACAAAATGATAGGATTCTTAATAAGTCCAGACCTCGCTGTGTGTCTGTACTTGTAATGGAACTGAACATTCTTTTTTTTTAATTTTATTTTTATTCTTTAAAGATTTTATTTATTTATTTGACAGAGAGAAACACAGCGAGAGAGGGAACACAAGCAGGGGGAGCAGGAGAGGGAGAAGCAGGCTTCCCGTGGAGCAGGGAGCCAGATGCAGAGCTCGATCTTAGGACGCTGAGATCATGACCTGAGCCGAAGGCAGATGCTTAATGACTGAGCCACCCAGGCGCCCAGGAACTGAACATTCTGATTTGAGAAGGATTCTAGTATTCTCAGCACTGGTCAGTGACTTGCATATATATATTTATAAATTTTATATATTTTATATATTTTTTGTATATAAATTTTGTACCTATCAGCAGGTCAAAAACTTGGATAATGCTGTGGTGGAGGGGTATGAGGAGGGCAATTTGATGATATTTATGCATGTATACTTTAGTGTTCTGCCTAAGGTATCTATTCTGCAGTTATTCTTGCAGACCTTCATCCTACAAATAAAATTCCAAGGAAAACTAGCAGCTCATGGTAAAAATGATAGATAGATAGATAGATAGACAGACAGACAGATAGCCAGCCAGCCAGCCAGCCAAAAAACCACTCAGGGAAACGAGCCACCACAAGAAAGAACCAGGAAGACCAAGAAGCAGATACAGACTCACGGAGGTTGAGAAAATGAAATTATTACAAACAACTTTTAAATTACTATATTCAATATGTTAAGAGAGTTAAGCTACAGCTTAAAAATACATGTGGGAAAATACATGCAGGAAACCTGAAACTATAAAGAATGACCCAAACAGGTTTGAAAAAGAACCAAATGGAAATTCTAGAAATGCCAAATGTAATAGAGTACAGTAAAGCCTTGGCACAATATTGTAAGTGGGCCCAAAATTATCTAATCATGCTGTGAGGTAAATAAAATGAGAATAGAGGCAGGATAAGGATGGGAACTGTCAGTCAGAAACCAGTCAGGAGACAGAAATCACGCTAATTATTTGAACAGAGGAAATTGAATTAAAAAAAAAAAAAGGTTAACATGAAATACCATTATTAACCAAATAGCTGGAAGGGTAAAACAGGAACCCCAAGTTATCATGGAGGTACAAGTGTAGGCATTAGCTACCACTCGTGGAGCTCAAAGATAAATAGGACCTGAAAATATTCCCACTTAGAGGAGGGCCTCTGTAGAGCTGGAAGTCAGGCCTCTGGGGAGACAGATTGATTGGCCAGCTAGGGCCAGGGTCTCTAAGCCTAGAGGAGGGGTCTCTATAGGACTTGTATGTACACTGCTAGTGAGGGTCAGTGGAGCTGGCAGCCAGAGCTCTGAGAAGGAGATGCCCTGAGGCTGGTTCTGCAAGTCTTTGAAAAACTTCAGACTGGATTCAGCCTCTTCTGTGGGAAGAATCTGCTCTTGAAGAAGTATAGCTGAGGTAATGCTCACAGAAACAGATCCTGTAGTCACTCTCCAGTGTCCTTACAGGTAGAGTCTAATGGAATATTTGCCAGCACAGAAATATTTGCTTCCAGAGTCTCAGCCCTAGCACCACAAGGCAGTTTATATGAGGGGAAGGGAAGATAGAGCTGAAAGACAAAACTTAATCACTGGCACAGGAAACATGTTATATCCAAATTAAAATTCCCATGAGGCTGTCAGATAAGTGAAATTAAAAAGCCCACGGAGGACTTCTGTTTCCAGGAAGCATCAGAGAACTAACAAGGGAATGAATAATGATGAAGCCAGTATCCAAGGAAATGAGAGGTTGGCCTGGCATTTGGGATGCTTTTTCCTGAGACGGATCTGCCAAGTCTAGAAGAATGGCTGAGAAGCTAGGACTCTGTGCAGCATTTTTTATCACACTCATGCCCTAGGTGGACAAAGTTTAAGACGGGGAACCACCAAGGAGGTACCCTAATGTATTGTTTGGGGACCACAAATTGTTGGGATGCCATTCAAATCATTTCAGTCCTTGCCAGGGGCAAACATAAATTCTCTTGGGAGAGAGTTAACCTCATAATGGGCCTCACATAGTTTCTACCATTGTTCATAGGCAGTGATCATGCTCAATCAGAAATAGGCATCCAAGGAGATAAGATAAATGATTGTAAAACAAGAGAAATAACAGAAAAACAGATCTATAGAGAATCGAGGTAATGCAGTTTTCCCAAAGACTTTATAAGGGCTATGCTTAATATGGTTAAGAGGATGAAAGACAAGATTGAGAATTTTATCAGACCTGTGAACTATAAGAAAAGAACCAAATGGAAATCCTGTAACTGAAAAATAACTGAAGTAAAAAATTCAATGGATAGTGTTTGTTAGCAAGTTATACATAGCTGAAAAGAGGAAACTAATAAAGCTAGAGTTAGGTCAGAGGAATATATCCAAATTAAAGCACAGAGAGAATAGGGTAGAAAATACGGAATATAGACAAATGTAGAGGATAGAGTACCAAGGTCTACCATACATGTAATTGGAGTCCTTGAAGTGGAGAGGATGAGGCAGAAGCAATGTCTGAAGAAATAATGGCTTAGAGTTTTTTTGAAAATTGATGCAATAGATCAAGCCTCAGGCTCCAGAATTATTACAGACTTCAATCAGAATTTGTAAAAAGCAAACCACACTTAGGCATGTCATAGTAAAACTGCTGAAAACTTAAAAAACAAAAAAACCTTAAAAACTGCCAGAGTGAAAAGACAGACTACTTTATCTAAGGAGCAGTAATTTAGCTGAGAACTGACTTCTCAAACAATAGAAACCAGAACACAGAAGAGTCATACTTCCAAAGTGTGAAGAAGAAAAAAAAAAGTCCTGCTAACCTAGATTTTATATTTGAAAAAAAAAAATCCCTTAGGAATGTAAGGGAAATGATATTTGCAGACAAATGAGATCTGGGGAAATTCATTACCAGTAGACCTGAACCCCCCCAAACCAAAAACACTACTAGATTTTCTTCAGGCAAAAAAAATAAAATGATCTCAAATGGTGAATCAGAGATAGAGGAAGAATAAAATTCAAGAAGAATGTGTTGGTAAATCTAAATGAGAGTTGACTGCATAGCAAAAAATAATAATGCCTTCTGGGATGAAAAAAATATCAGAATTAAAATATATGAGAACCATAGTATGCAACTCAGGAGTGGAATAAATGGATTTAAGGTATTCTCAGATCAAAATCCAAGTATCATCTGAGGAAAGTGTACAGAGAGGTTAGATTTGTTACGTCTTAATTCTCTGCAATAGGATTCATCCATACTCTTGCCGAGCTTTTGTCATGAACTAAAGATGCTTCTTCACCCCTTGGTTTCACACTTGGCCCTGTGACTTTCTTTGGCTGACTGGGTGTTAGCAGGCATGATAGAAACAGAGGTTTAAATGTCCTCCCTTGTTTGGCTTGCACTCTTGCACTCCTGCTGCATCCATGAGTACAACATGTCCCTAGGAGCCCCAGGCTTTTCAGCTTGAAGCTCAG